ACCACCGCATCCTTGCCCGTCTGGGCTGTGGGGTTGGGTTCTGGGTGCACAGCTGTCCCCTGCCAGATCAGGAGGCTCAGGGGGTTGTTGGAGCACCTCCAAGCAGCAGGAGAATTCCTCTCTGGGAGGGTCGCCAGAAGGGCTGAGGCAGCGCTAGAAGGCCCTAGACGCGGTGCGGTGCTTCAGGGGAAAGTCACAATGTGCAGATGACAGCCGTGTCTGAAAAATGAGCGACTCCCAAGAGCGGGTCACTGCCGCCTGGGCTTGAGAAAACCAAGGAGCGCAGCTGTCAGAGCGGAGGGGCTCAGGGAACGGTGCCGCCAGCCAGCGCCGGCGCACATGAGAGCCAGCCGCTTCCCAGCGCAAGCCGAGATGTCGGTGCGGCGCTCCGCCGCCCTGTGTGTGTGTGTCTGGGGGTGTCCGGGGCGGAGCTGTGCCGATCACCCCTCTGTCACGATTCGAATCCCTCCCCCTTAAGGGCCCTCCGGCTCGTTCGCATTGTACCCGATCTCCTGCACCGGCCTCCTGCTCCAGTCTCCCCTTTAAAAGCCAGACGCTCCCACTGTCCCAGGCTCAGTATTGGCAGATGGACGCCACAAGGCTTGCCTGTTTTCCGGGTTGTCCGAAGGCTGGCCTTTTCCCCGCCATCCTGACCATCTGCGTCCAGGGCTGGGAGTGTCTGCTCGCGTTACCCCCCCTTCATTCCCCCGACCCCTCGCCGGATCCCGCTCCGGCTTTTAACTCCGTTAGTCTTTGTCGGGATGGTTCACCTGGTTTTGGACTTTGGCTTCACTCTGGAAATTCTCACGGACTCCCTTGGACTAGTGTGCCTTGGACCCCCCCCCGAACACCAGCGCACCTTGGACACGCCCCCTGTTTTCCTTCCAGTCCGTGTCCTGTCCTCGCCGTTTTCCCCGTGTTTTCTCACTCCTCTCCGGGTCCTGGAGGAGCGCTCCGTGACACCCTCGCCCGCCCCCTGCTCTGTGTGTTGCAGCTCGGGGTCCCTCCCGTAGAGGC